TTTTCAGTGTTGTTGTAACTTTGAATGGTCACTAAATGAACAGTTGCAAGTCAAGGACTACCTGTACCAAAAAGTTTTTTAAAAAGGAAGATAAAAAAGGATTTTTTTAATAAAAAACCCAAGAACTGACCTTCCCTTCTCTTTAAATATCTGCTAATGGGTTCTGTTTATAGACATTTAGACCCTCTACCAAACTGTAGATGACTATATTTGTTGTGCTGCATGATATGTTGTATGTACGTATCTTGCTTAAATATATTGTAGTTAAACTGTGTGTATATATAATAATCTGAATTATGTATATACTGTTAGTTTTGCCATTGCTGTGTCTTCTCCAAGTTTAAGTTCTCAGTGAGATATTGTTGGAATTCTGTCTTTCTTCCAGGGCTGAGAAAAATTTATTCTTGTTCAATCTTTTGGCTTGCCTGGACCACATTGAATGAAGAATTGTCTTAGGCCACATATAAAATATATAATATAGTTAATGTATATAAATAACGTTCTTTTAAAAATTATTTTTATTACAACCTTGCGCATTACCAACTGTCCAGGGCTGCATAATAGTCTGAAGGCTGGAAATGCCTACTCTAAAAGCATGTATCTCATTAACATCATAATGTTTCTTGATGGGTTTTAATGAGTTTATACCTAAAAATTGTGGTATCATTTCAGATTTAAATTCCAAAATGAAACTTGGTGAAAACTGGTGAATCTACAATCATTAGATGGAGAAGATAGTAGAAATAGTCCCATTTTATATGCTTTATGTTTTATTCAGTTCCCTAAAAGTTAAAAAGATTGCTCTTCTCATAGGGCAAGAGTTGGATACTTTTTAGGAATCTTTATTCAACTGCACAAATATTTTTGATAAATGACATCTTTCTGTAGGAAATGTAGGGTTCCCATTTTTGGAATAGCCTTCCCAACTTGATGCCATCCAGTTTGTGGAACTGCAATTTCTATTACCACCAGGCAGAACCAATGGAAGATTTAGCAAAGGCTGACCTGCAGAATTTGACTAGAACTATTGTATGAAATTGTACTTTGCTATTCTTGCCAAGAAATGTCACAGATGATAATTAAGCAATAACACATTTCATATGTAGGGCTTTTCAGCCTTTACTGAAACCTTTACCGATAATACTGATTTACAGGATATTTGTATCTTGATTTTCATTGGAAAATTCAGAGAAGTATAACTTCAGCATCCAGTGATTGTTTCCATCATTCATTGATTCAGTTCATGGTTGCTGAGCTTTCCATAAAACCAAGCAAAGACATTTCTCAGTCACCTTGATAGGACCATTCCAGTTTAACTATGAGTAAATTTGAGTGACTTTATCTGCCAGATGTGCCAAAGAATTAAAGCCTTTGAACTATGGTGCTAGAGAAAATTTCTGTGAGTCTCTTGGACTGCAAGATGATCAAACCGGTCAGTCCTAGAGGAGATCAACCATGACTGCTCTTTAGAAGGCCAAATCCTGAAGATGAAACTCAAATACTTTGGCTACCTAATAAGAAGTCAGGTCTCACTGAAGAAGAGCCTAATGCTGGGAAAGATTGAGGGCAAAAGAAGAATGGGACGACAGAGGAGGAGGATCCAATGTCATGATGATACAGACATGCGGTCTCAATGCTCCGAGACCACAGCTGATACTTTTGCTGCTGGGTGGTCCAATCGGACCTAAACTGTCCCGAAGAGACAGTGAACAGGAATAATATGTCTTGCTGACTTCAGGGACATCGCAAAGTCCCTGATCGATGCAAGAGAAGTTCTTCAAGCCGGCAACAAAAAATCCAGCCAAGGCTGACAAAGTCGGGGCGGCTCCAAAACGGAAGGATACGGAAAGGGAAAGTGTTTCCAGCTGGTGAGGAATTTTTACCGTTTTAAAAAGAGACTGCCTATTAAAAAACTTAAAATTTAAATTGAAGAACAGAAGAAATAAGCAGCGGAATTAAATTTGGAATGGCTTTGGACAGGGGGTTATCTTACTTTTTAAATGCTATCTTCATGGATGGGATTTATGCAAGCCTTTTAAAATGAATGGATTAAGTTTTCTTCTTCTATTTATTTCTTCTTTTATTATTCTCTGTAACCTATGGATTAAAATTTTCCTCTTTCATTACTGTGAGTGTTCTCCTAACTCATTTAAGAATTGGACTTTTTTAAAAAACTTGAAATACAAAAAGAAACAAGGAAAATTGCAACATAATACTGCTACTCGGATGCTGGAAGGTTTGTGTATTGGAAA